GGAGTGAGGGGCACCGGCAGAGCTGGGGGGGACAGGGCTGGGCTAGCAGGGGGCTGCGGGTCGGGAGTGAGGGGCACCGGCAGAGCTGGGGAGGGGGCAGGGCTGGGCTGGCAGGGGCTGCGGGTCGGGAGTGAGGAGCACCGGCAGAGCTGCGGGGGGCGATCAGCACCCAGGAGCGAGTCGTGGGTTTGAACTTACTGCAATTTCAGGCACTTTCTGAGCTCTCTGCTCCTGCAGAGACTTCGCTGCTTGGATCCTGGCCTCCAGCGACGTCTGGGACATGGTTAAAATCTCCTGATGGACAGAAACACGGGCATAAGTCCAGAAAAAAGAGCTCGCCCGGCGCTGAGATGCAACCAGCTCTGGGGCGGTGCAGCTGTAGAACGGCTGCACACAACGCTGCACAGGGATGGCTCGCCCTGCACTGAGGTGCAGCCAGCTCTGGGGCAGGAGGTTCTGGATAGTCTGGGGTGTCATTAAAACACCGGAACCACACGAAGGCCATTACAACCTGGGGTCCTGGGTAACGTCCCATGGGATTGACTGGCAATGTAGCATCAACCACAAGGTCTACGTAAGACTCCATGGCTTAGTTAGTGGCAGAGACAACTGATCCATGCTCATGCTTCAGGGCAGCAGGTGAGCTGCCTCGTAAGGGTCAGGAAGGAAATCAACACCCGCCGATAATGCAGCAGAGCAGCCCCTAGCGCCACACTGACTGCCAGGGGAGAGTGCCCCCTACTGAGCCCCTCCACACACCCTGATCCCTGCAGCACGGCGCCCCTGACTGACCTTATATTGCTGCACGCTTTCGGCCAGCGGGAGACAACGATGCCCCCAGTGCTCAGTGTCCAGCGCCCGCGTGAGGCTGCCGTGGTCCATGCAGAACAGCGGCTCTCCCAGCAGCTCCTCGTCGGGCGAAGGCCCCTCCCATGCGGGGGCGCTCTCCCGGGCCCTGTCTGCCAGCTGGCCCAGGGCGCGGTTGGGCACGTACTTGCCCCCGGGCGCGGGGCACCGGCACTCCGGGCAGCGGCAGGGGATGGCGTCCCCGGGCTGGGCCGGGGGCTCCCCCCCAGTAGTGGGTGATGCAGCCCTGGCAGTAGTTGTGCCCGCACTCCAGCATGACGGGCACCGCGAAGAGCTCCAGGCAGATGGGGCAGTGGAGCTCGGCCGGTGGGTCGCTGGCCATGGGGCTGGGGCTGCCGCTGGGGCGATCCCTGTCCCCCTCCGTCTGGGTCCTGCCGCTCCCCCTCCGTCTGGGGTTCTGGCTCTCTGCCCCTCTCCGGTGTCTCCTTCTGGCTCTCTCCGGGCGTCTGGGCCCCTCTCTGGCTGCCCCCGCCCCGAGCCCTGCCCAGACCCGTTCTTGCCCCCGGCACCTGGCATTCCACAGCAGGCAGGTGTGGACAGCACTGGCCAAACCGGTTCCTCGTGTCGGGGGCTGGGAGCCAGGACTCCTGGGTTCTCTCCCCAGCTCTGGGAGGGGAGTGGGGTCTGGTGGGTGAGAGCAGGGTGGGCTGGGAGCCAGGACTCCTGGGTTGTCTCCCCAGCTCTGGGAGAGAAGTGGGGACTGGTGGGTGAGAGCAGGGGGGCTGGGAGCCAGGACTCCTGGGTTGTCTCCCCAGCTCTGGGAGAGGAGTGGGATCTAGTGGTTAGAGCGGGAGGGGGGGGCTGGAAGCCAGGACTCCTGGGTTCTCTCCCCAGCTCTGGGAGAGAAGTGGGGGCTGGTGGGTGAGAGCAGGGCGGGCTGGGAGCCAGGACTCCTGGGTTCTGTCCCCGGCTCTGGGAGGGGAGTGGGGGCTGGTGGGTCAGGACTCCTGGGTTCTCGCCCCACTCGGGGAGGGGTGGGTCTAGTAGTGGTTTTTGCACTGAGGGCTCATGCCCGGGGAAGCCCTGACTCCTACGTGAACAAGCTCAATTATCCCAGCTTAGATGCCTCTGACTTGACCTCATGACGCAACGCTGGTGACTCAGGAGCGAAGGTGTATATAGGGCAGGGGCAGGGCAGGGGGCGCTCTCCCCTGGCAGCCAGGCCTGGGCCCGATGCCCCAGGATGGCACTAGGGGGCGCTCTCCCCAGGGCAGCTGCACTGATCTCAGTCCTTGGGAACAAAGATTGTCTCTCTGCATTTGCGCTGCGCCGGGCACACCGGGGTCACAGTCTCACACTGGGGCTTTCAGGAGCTGTCGTAGGCAGATTGCGGAGCTTACCAAAGAGGCTGAAATGCAGCCAATTCTGGGGTGGGTCCCCTTGGGAACAGCTGCATAGAACGCTGCCCGGGAACAGCTCGCCTGGCGCTGAGATGCAGCCGCCTCTGGGGTGGAGCCTGCTGCAGAAAACAGGAGGCAACTGGGCAAGAGGCAGGCCAAATCCAGAGCATTCAAACCTCTTTGGCTAGTTCCCCTGCCCCCTTTGTCACTAGGATCCAGTGGGGGAACTGCTCACTCCATCAGCCCTGGGAATCCTGCCCTCCATGTCCCCTCTAGAGACCCCCGACTCCCACCCTATCGCCTTGCCCCAGGGCTAGTGCTGGTCACCCTGCGGAGACTATGGAGCACCTGGGATCTCCTACCCTGTAGCGCATACATTTAAAGAAAGAAGCACGTATCAGTCGGGGTTAGATCCTGGGAGTCAGGACTCCTGGGTTCTCTCCCCGGCTCTGGGAGGAGAGTGGGGGCTAGTGGGTTGGAGCAGGGGGGGCTGGGAGCCAGGACTCCTGGGTTCTATCCCTGGCTCTGGGAGGGGAGTGGGAGCTAGTGGGTTAGCACAGGGGGGACTGGGAGCCAGGACTCCTGGGTTCTCACCCCAGCTCTGAGAGGGGAGTAGGGGCTAGTGGGTTGGAGCAGGGGGGACTAGGAGCCAGGACTCCTGGGTTCTCACCCCAGCTCTGAGAGGGGAGTGGGGGCTAGTGGGTTGGAGCAGGGGGGGCTGGGAGCCAGGACTCCTGGGTTCTCACCCCAGCTCTGGGAGGGGAGTGGGGGCTAGTGGGTTAGCACAGGGGGGACTGGGAGCCAGGACTCCTGGGTTCTCACCCCAGCTCTGAGAGGGGAGTAGGGGCTAGTGGGTTGGAGCAGGGGGGACTAGGAGCCAGGACTCCTGGGTTCTCACCCCAGCTCTGGGAGGGGAGTGGGGTAGCGCAGTGGGTGCTGAGTGCCCGGACTCCTGCGTTCCATTCCCAGTTCTGCCACAGCCTGTGACCTTACAGGGTCACTTCATTTCTCTGACCGTGTTTCCCCGGCTGTAAAACAGAACGATCCTGCTTTTATCTGTTTAGACGATGAGCTCTTTGGGGGCAGGGACTGTCTCTGATTGGGTCCGTGCAGCGCCCGGCCCAACGGGGCTCCCTGATCTCAGCCGGGGCTGGGGGGTTTGGGCAGCCCCCAGCACGGCAGGGCCCAGCACCTGGCCCACCGGGGTCCCAGTCTCAGGGGTCACCCAAAGCAACCCTTCAGACACCGCGCTTCCGGATTTTTTAAAATCGTTTATCGAAAGTTTAAATGCCAAGAGCATTACAATAAAAAACACAACCGCTTGGAGAGAAAAACACACACACACACACACACAGGCACGCAACTGGCTCCAATGAACGGGGACCCAGGCTAGGAACCAATTCCTGGGCCCAAACACTTCTCAGGCGCGCTTGGAACCCCCCTGCAAAACCAGCCGGCCTCTCGTCTCTGGTGCATGGGGCGGCTGCGCGAGATTTGGGCTGTGCGAAGCACTTTTCAGGGCTTAGACCCCCAGCCCTCCAGCCACGGTATTTTGGCCGTAAACGGCCTTGCAGGATCCCGGTTTACCCTTCCTCCCCATCTCCCTAACCCCAGAGTTCCAGCTGTCCAGGGCCTCATAGGAGCTCAATTCCCAGTCTTCCCCTCCCGACATTTCAGCTGCGAAAAGCCCCTATTCCCCTCCCTCAACCCCCCCATGTTTCGGCTGCAAAGGCCCATGTAGATCCCAAGGGGGAGAACGCGAAAGCCCCCAGCGGAGCCTGCCGGGGACCTGGACGGGCGTGGAGAGGGGCTCGTTTTAGAGGTACCCCCCCAGCGCCTCCTGCACGCCACAGAACAGCTGATCGCAGCGGGGGGGGGAGGCGCTGGGAGGAAGGGGCAGGAGTTGATTGGAGGGGACGTGGGAGGTGCTGGAGAGGAGGGGGGGGGAGCTGGCTGCCGGCGGGTGCTAAACACCCACTAATTTTTTTCCATGGGTGCTCCAGGGCACCCAGCTGCACGTGGATCGGGTAAGTCACCTGCTTCCGGGTGTCTGGATTTGATTCTCTGCTCCCTGGGTGAATTTGAGAAGACTGGGGATTAGATGATGATAGTGGGATTGGATAAAACAGGAAAATGAAAGAGATTGGGATTAGATTAGATACAGATTGGGAATTAGATTAGACACACCCTGGGGATTAGGACAGTTGATCGGAAAACGGATTTTCTGTTCCCGGGAAAACGTTGAGATTTTTTTTTTCACCCCAAAATTGCAAGATTTTTTTGCAAGCAAAAAAAAGTTCAGTTTGGGTCAAAATGTTTCATTTTGGTTCCTTCAAAACACGAGGAAATTTTTTGTTTTTGTTTGGTATAAAACAAATATCAAAACGCAACGTCGTTCCCAAACGAAATATTGAAACGTGTGACATTTTCAAAGAAAACATTCTATTTTTGCAAACAACATTGAGTTGAAAGGATACCATTTGCGGGGGGAAATCAGTGTTGTCAAAACAGCTTTTTTTTAAATGGAAACCAGTTGTTTTGATAAAAAACGTTCTGAGCAGCTTTTAGGGATTAGATTTGAGAATGAGATTAGATTATGCAGGTAAAAAGGGGAAGAGATTGTGTTAGGGGGTTAAATTAGGTAGATGAAAAGGAGAATAGATATTACATGAGACACTGAGTGGGGATTAGATTAGACAGGTTAAAAAAATGAGAATGGGGATTATATTAGGAAAGTAAAGAGGGGATTGGAGATTAGATTCAACGCAAAGTGGGTACCAGAGTAAACTGGTGGAATTACAGTTGGACAAATAATGGAGTTTTCAGTTCTTTGCAAAAAAAAATAATAATAATTTTGGGTCAAAGAGAAAACGAAATTTTTAAAAACGTCTGGCAAATCAAAAAGAAAAAAATCTGTTTTCAGTTGAACTAACTATTTTGAGCTGTTTTTTTACAGGAAATTTCTGTACGAACAGCTGCTTCAAAGAGAAAAATCGACACTTCTGAAAGTGTCAAAACAAAAGGTTTCTAGGCTTTCTGGTTTTCTATTTTTTTTTTTAATTATATTAAATTTGGAATTGAAAAATCAAAACGTTTCGGCTCTACGATGTCATTTTTTTAATTTTCCTTGGAGTTTTTTGGCTGGTTTTCCAACCAAAACAATTCAGCAAAACCAAGGCCAACTTTTTGAAAGGTTTCGGTTACACCGAATTTGCGGGGTTTGTAGTTGAAAATGTCACTCGCCTCTAAATGAAAGTGGCGAAAAAGGCTCACGTCATTCGGGGTGTATTAACGGGAGCGTCACATGTAAGACATGGGAGGTAATTCTCCGCTCTGCTCGGCCCTGCTGAGATTTCAGCTGGAGCAGTGTGTTTCTGGATGCCACATGTTAGGAAAGAGGTGGACAAATTAGACAGAGTCCAGAGGAGAGAAATAAAAATGATCCAAGGTTTCGAAACCCGACCTGCGGGGAAAGGTTAAAAAACCGGCATGGTTAGTCTAGAGAAAAGAAGACAGAGGGGGGGGACCGGAAAACAGTCTTCAAAGATGTTCAGAGCTGTTACAAGAGGACAGTGATCAATTGTTCTCCGTGTCCACTGAAGGCGGTGTGGATTAGATTTATGCAAGAAGAGATACCAGCCAAATGACTTAACGGATCTAGGCGCCTGAATCCCACAGCGACCCAAGCCATTAGGATCCTAAACCCCACTGACTTCCGGCGAGATCTGTGCTCCTAAAGGTCCTGGTCGGAGTTCGGGGTTTAAATGGCTGTAAGGATCTGGATCGGTGGAGGTTAGGGGACGGGATGAGAATCAGAGTTCGAGGAGGGAGACAGAGGTAGGAACGAGAAGGGAAATGACAGGAGACCGATGGGCTGACGCCGCAGGACGATGAGTCACATCCCACGGGATCAAGCCCGGGCTAAGTCCTCGACGCTGCGGCGTGGGCGGGGATCAAACCGAGGCCTCAGCAGTGCTGGCCCATTCCACCGAGGGCGGGAATTCCCCCGGCAGCTCGGCTTAGTAAGAGCCACGCTCATGCTCCGGGGCAACTCAGAGGGCTCAGGAAGGAAATCAACACACCCCCACACTGCAATGCAGCGCCCCCTAGTGATGCTCTGGGACGTTGGGGCCAACATTGACTCCCAGGGGACGGCACCCCCTAGTGAGCCCCTGCCCCACAGCACAGTGCCCACTGGGTCAAGCTCTCCCAGCCATGCGTGGAGCCCTCCTGATCCTGCCTAACATGTGACCTGACGGGACAGCAGGCAAAACCAGCGATGGACCCAGGCGATCGGGAGGGGGAAATGTCTATTTGTTGTTTGCCCCATCGAGACCCTGATGCGTAGCACGTCCTGACCCCAGGGGGAGGGGAAGAGGGGGGTTGGTCCCGGCCCCACCCTCCCCCGCCACGGGGAGGGGAGGCACAAGGGAGCTGGGATCTCAGCCTCAGGCGTCCTGGAGGTCGGGAATGTCGGAGAGGATCATGGGAGAGCCCAGCTGCAACTCCTGCTGGAGGGACTCCATGTCGGCGGGGTTCATCCGATGGACCTCGAGCCAGTCAGCCAGCAGGGAGGCCGAGAGAGGGGCTGAATCGCCCTGGCTGGGGGGAGGAAGAAGACAAAGAGAGAGATCAGACGGACGGACGTCGGGCCAGGCCAGATAAGAACCCCGAGCCCTTTCCCACTGGGACCCCGGGAAGGATTTCAACCCGGGAGCCAAAGTTGCTGCAGAGCTTCAAGGCAGTTGTAGTTCCAGGGCCTTAGGCTGACTACATCTCCCAGGATGCCCCAGGATCTCCCATCTGGCTGAGCATCTGTAAGGCCTGAGGCCTGGTCTCGCTCTGGTTCTTTGACTGGGTCTGTCAGTTACAGAACTCGTCTGGCAAGGGGCAAATCGACTCGGGTGGGGCTCACTTCCCTCCGAGCTGCGCGGCCGCATGGGCCTGGACTGCAGAGGAGAGAAGGAGGGGGCATGCAGGGCTGCGGTGGGGAGAGAGGACTGGGGGAGTCTTCTCTCCCCACCACAGCCCCGGGGCAGCCTGCACCCCGAACCCCTCATCCCTGGCCCCACCCCAGAGCCTGCACCCCCGCACCCAACCCTCTGCCCCAGCCCTGAGCCCCTTCCCGTACCCGAACCCCTCATCCTTGGCCCAACCCCAGAGCCTGCACCCCCCGCACTCCAACCCTGAGCCCCCTCCCGCACCCCGAACCCCTCATCCCCAGCCCCCCAGAGCCCACACCCCCTGCACCCCAACCCTCTGCCCCAGCCCTGAGCCCCCTCCCGCACCACGAACCCCTCATCCCCGGCCCCACCCCAGAGCCCGCACCCCCCGCACCCCAACCCTCTGCCCCAGCCCTGAGCCCCCTCCCGCACCACGAACCCCTCATCCCCGGCCCCACCCCAGAGCCCGCACCCCCCGCACCCCAACCCTCTGCCCCAGCCCTGAGCCCCC